GTGGCACGTGCTGTTGTTTCCAATGGTTTGACTCAAAATTTACCGCTGAAGTTTTATTATCAAGGACCTATGTTTCGTTATGATCGTCCTCAAAAGGGCCGTCAGAGGCAGTTTTTGCAATCAGGGGTAGAATTCTTTGGACCAAAAGCTCCTTTGGTGGATGCAGAAGTGATCGCAATGGCAGATCATGTTTTGAAAGCACTAGGCTTAAAAGGCCAGGTTCAGTTGCAATTGAATACCCTTGGCGATGCACAAAGCCGTGATCAGTATCGTGAAAAGCTCGTAGATTATTTTAAGAAATACGTGTCTGATCTCTCCCAAGAATCTAAAGAGCGGCTAGAGAAAAACCCTCTCAGAATTTTAGATTCAAAAGATAAGAAGGATCGCTTTATTATAAAAGAAGCGCCGCTTTTTGAAAATTCTTTAACAGGGGAATCAAGGGATTTCTTTGAGAAAGTGTGCTCATTTTTAGAAGACTTAAGTGTTTCATATGTTTTGAATCCTCGACTTGTTCGAGGGTTGGACTATTATTGCCATACCGCTTTTGAATTCACGACAGACTCTTTGGGGGCCCAAGGCACTGTTTTAGCAGGTGGTCGATACGATGGTCTTATTCAAAGATTTGGTGGACCAGAAGTTCCTGGTATTGGTTGGGCAGCAGGTTTGGAACGCCTAGAACTGCTATGGAAAGGTTTTGCGGAGGAAGAACGTCCTATTGTCTTTATTCCCATGGGAGAAAAGGCTGAAAAACGTTCTGCATTGTTGATGCAAGAGCTGCGTCAAGCAGGACTTTATAGCGAAATGACTTATTCTGGAAATTTGCAAAAGCGTTTGAAAAAAGCAGATAAATGTTGTGGAAAATGGGCTGTTATTTTAGGGGATGATGAGCTGGCCTCAGAATTGGCAACGGTACGCTTTTTAGATGATGGCGCGCAAGAATCTGTGCCGTTATCTGCTTTGCCTAATTATTTTATGGAGAAAAGTACATGAGCTTTCATGACAAACTCACCCAGGTTTTAGAGCATTATGAAACGTTGTCGAAGGATTTGGCAGAGGGGAATTATGACGGTCCCCAAGACTATGCAAAAATTTCT